GCCTGTAGTCCCAGCTACTCGGGAGGCTGAGGCAGGAGAATGGCGCGAACCCGGGAGGCGGAGCTTGCAGTGAGCTGAGATCGCACCACTGCACTCCAGCCTGGGTGATAGATCGAGACTCTGTCTCAAAAATAAAAAAAAAAAGGTGTTACTTTTTCAGGTGTGATGATGGCAGTGTGGCTTCATCTCCAGTCCTCTTTGAGAAACACTTTCTAAAATGCTCGTGGGTGGAGGGTTTCGGGTGTGCAGCGGTGGGCGGGGCTGTGACTTGTCTCCCCCACAGGAAGCGCGTGTGCGGAGCTGGGGGCCGGGGCCGGCACCCACACTGGGTCTCCACAGCGGCATGGAGTCTTCACTGCTGGTGCTGGCCCTGGGGGCCCTGTTGGTAGGTGAGTGGGAGCCAGAGTGCAGGGGGGACACTGAGACCCAGTGCTCTCAGGGGGGTCCCTGGATGGGAGGGGTGGTCCTGGGCGCCGGCATCCTGGGCGTAAGAGCGGAGATTCATTGTTGTTTGGAGGGGGACTGAGGCCTGGGGCATCCCGAACTCCTCATGCTTCACCTCGGGCAGACGTCCCAGGACTGGGGAGGGGTACGGTGTCCACCGGCTCACCCCGTCCATCCTCCTGGCAGCACCCAGGAGGCAGGGGCCACGCTCACACCCAAGGTGCAGAGCAGGAACCTGAGGCTCGGCGAAGGAGATACTGACCCAGGAGTACCCGGCTGGGAGGGCAGGGCCGGGACTCGATCCCCGCCGGCTGCCTCTGACCACCAAGGGCTTGCCTGGGACTAGGTGCCCAGCAGTGAGGGAGGAGGGAGGTGGGTGGCGGCTCCCCCGCATTCCAGCTGGACTGAGTGACAATGGCTCTTTGATGAGCTGAGGACCCATGGAGGTGGGCAGAGGTGGGAATCTAGCCCTCAGCCATCATCATCCTTCCATTCTTCTTTCCTTCCACCCACGGGTCTATCCTCCCTCCCTCCTTTCATCCCCCTTCCTTCCCTCCACCCGTCCACGCATCCATCATC